CGTCTGGGCTCTAAAACTCAACTGAAATCAAGTCTGTGCAGTATGTAGTCGGTATGGAAAATAGGAGCCCTAATTTTACAGTAACAGTGTATTTTATTCATGGTGATTCTTATACGCAGAGAGTACTAGGGAAGGAAATGTCACTCTAAAAGGGCATCCTGATGAATAAGTGAAAGCACGCAAGAGAAGAGACAGGTTTGATCCAGAAGTCAGAGCACAAGCCGAGTGGTAGCACTTCCTAAGCTCAATTCCCAGCTCTGACAGTATGATCCTTCTATATCATCCTCAGGGGCCTACTTTAGAGGCAATTATTCCTCCAAGCACAGTTAGTACTTACTTCAGAGGAGAACAACACTATTCATGTGTTACTTGAACTTTACAATACAAGGCACTTGACTATGCAGCTATGCAGATGATGCCAGGCAACCACCTGGCACTGCATCACACCCTGAGATGCAACCCAGGGGTGGTGAACAGGGATCAGTTTGCCATCCTGACACCCACCCTCTCCCTTCAGTTATCCCACTGAAGGGAACTCAGGGGGAGCTCTTTCAACCAGCTGCAAGATGATGTTTATTACATTTATGCTGTAAACTAACATAAGCTGCTTGCTTGCCTTCTATGTGGAAAACCACCCTGCTGCCCAAAACACTGCCAAACAGGCATGGCTAAGCTTGGGAAAGACACACCAACGACACATTTACAAGCCTGCAAGACAGGGAATGCGGATTACTGACAGTGTGTTGCCTTGCCTCATGACTCAGGGGGACCTCCTTTCTCCGAGACGCGCAGTAAGAAAATAACGACCACCTACTTGATCCCCACTAAATGCTACCACGCTTTTGGATTCAACAAGAACAATCCCCCTCAACTCTTCCCTAGTGCCTTACGCAAGATGGTTTTTATTTTCCTGGGAACATAACAAGCAAGGCATGCTATGTGTTAAGAAGGTCTGAGCGTTAGCCACAGAGGCTAAGAAAATACAATCTACAACTTTCTCAAGAAAAACTCTCCACCTCAAGGAGAGGATATTCAGGCAGACATCTACAAAGAACACCACAGATCATTACAGCACTCCAGAGCCTGGAAACCCAAACACAACAATTTCCAACTTACAACATAGCTACATCCACTTAAAGCGCCCAAAATCAGTAATCCATAGGCACAATTGCTACTCCAGATTAAAATTGTTCTCCATTGTATCCAAAAGATCAAATCTATCACAATAAAAATAAGAATCACACAACTAAGTTTTATAAAACACTTACGAAGAAACCAGAAGGCTAGGGACACATTTTAGCTTCCCTGAAGATCATCACATGACAGCAGCATGCTGCTGTGCCAGACACCTAAATGCGGGTGTTTATCCCACAACTCACATGATTGAGCTGCCTTTAGGCCATAAACAGCAAAGTATGCTTAGCAAGAGATCAACAGGTACAATGCACAAAGAACCCCTCCTTCCTCCCCCCAGAATGGACATATATTCTACAGAACCAGTGTTAGTATTTACTGGTGTTAAATTTGCATTAAACACAAAGCAGCAAGTCGCACAAAGGCAAATACATGGTATTTCATATCTAACTTGGGATTATTATCTCTGCATTATGTAGAAGGGTCACAGAGGTGAAGTTAATACATGCTTTTAATAACAGTAATTTGGTTTCTTAAAAGGGGTATTCCCAGGCATTTTTCCACAGAAATCACATTCCAGCTTTACAAGTTTACCAGTTGAGCAGTTTCAAAGGACAAAGAATGGAGAATCTACAAAAACAGAAGCAAACAGTGTCTTCTTGAAAGAACCCTTTAAAGGAAGATCTGTCCCCTCCCTCATACATGCGTGTATATATACGTACACATATGCACACTCTTGCAACGGAATGATAAGATTAGATAGACATACAGATGAACAAGTACATTGGCAAGAGAACAGTGGATGCCAGTACAAGTTAAGCACTTAAGCAGAAAGATCTATTTGGATATGGGCCTCTGCTTTCTGTGACATCTGCAGAGTTGTTGATAGGACAATATTAACGTTTGAGTGACAGAATCAGACTGACCTCTTATGCTCAGCATCATACAGATGGTTGGTAAGTAAACACACCAGTGGCTGCTTCCATCAGTGCAAGAAGACGCTGTACATGCGGATTGCTAATCATGAAGTCTCAAAAAGAAGTTGCAAAAGTTAAGGTAAAAAGGCACGGAAGTCTGAAAACAAGAGATGCTGACAGTGCTCCTACTAATAAATTAGTAGTGTGTTGTGTGTGCAACACACAAAGACCTTGGTATAATTTTGTAACCAGAGACTAGAAGGAGGAGGTAAATGGGATGTTAAAGAAAAACCATAAAGCCACAAATTTAATAGGTCAAAAAGTATATATGACCACACTGTAATATGAGAGGGACACACACTAAATATTTAACTTTTACTTTATCCTTTTCTCAGAAAGCCCAGTATGGGACTTGGAAGAGTGAACTCACAGAAATAATGCTTTGTATAAGTCGTAACTACCATGAAATGGAGTAAAGGAGAGATGGGCTGCAGAAGTGTCTTCTCCTACAGCAGCTTTAACATCCAGGCTGTCTTAGCCACTCTGATTCTTGCAAAGATTATCTTCTAACTTTTCCATAGCTTTTAAACCATCCCCAACAGAAACGAGACAAATATTAACCAGAGTCTATTGTTATATAAAATCTAACTGACAAGAGCCCAATAGCAGCCACCTGAGCACTCAATTCCTGGGGCTGAAAGACTCGAGAATCTCACGCATATTCAGAGATTCAAAAATATATGCAGACCTGAAAATAAGATGGACAAATGGGAAGCACAATTGTCCTTGGCTAAGGTGATCTTCAAATAAAAAAAGCACAAATTATTCAGGCCAGGGAGAGACTGTGGTGACAGGAATTCACAATACTGAGAAAAAGACTAGCATATCCTGTGTTCGAAAAAGAACTCTTGAAGGGAAACCCTGAGCAACGTGAAATACGAGGAATCCATACAAGATTAAATATTTACTTACTAATAGGTTTCTGGGTTATAACAGAGCAGTAGACTACACCAATTGCAGAACGAGGGTTAAACAATGTCCATTACTGAAGCATACGGGATATAGTAACACTCCAGCATGCAGTGGTAGACAGGGAGTTAACTCTGCAACATGAGAATCTCCAACAAGAACTGCAGGTGTAATGCAGTGTTCTTAACTCTCAGAAAGTAAGAGCTTCTCATGAGGACACCCCAACCTGTTCCAAATAAGCATACTTTAAGAGTGGATTAAATGCTCATGGTATTCACAGAAAGGACTTCAGTCTGTGGTTGAAAACCCTGAAGAGTTCTGCTGGGATATTAATAACTATTCAAATACAAGTGGGAAGCCATTATTACTAGATCCTAACACACTTAGAAAAAGAAATTCAAAACAGAGTGTAGCTGTAGGCTATGTTATAGAAACACAGGCCACTCCTGACCTACTTTGGCCAATATGATTTATTGCAATGCACATTCATAAGTCCCTGGGAAATTCAGCAATTTAACAGAGCATCTTATCACAAATTCAAGTATTATCTCTTTTTCTTATAATAACAGCTCTACAGAGCATGAACAAATACCAGGTATTCCTCTGGGGAGTCTGATGAGTTCTATGGGATGGTTTGTGGGTTTTATTCCTATTATGTTTAAGGTATTTGAATAGCTGCAGTATCCACAGTATACTACAGCAAGTAAGAAAGTCTCTTGAATCAGGCCTGCTCCAAGCAGATACCTTTTTATCCCAAAGTAAGGAGGTTTTCATCTTCTATCTTTCTGAGCAATAACATAAAAACATGGCACAGAGTGGACTCTAAAGGTAGAGTTTTAAAAGCTATAATGTCCAAGCAGAGCATTGAAGATAACTAAATATTGCACAAGGAAGACCAGTTAGTTATGCTTTTGAAATGCTGATGGAGCCCAGGAGTACAACACGTATCAACACTGAAGAGTTCATACACACACAGAGGATACCAACCAATTATCTGGCATGGGCATTTACATCAGTGTCATGAATGAAGACCACAACTGAAGAGAGATAAGCAATGTGGCCTCCCTCTCTTAAGAGGCACATGCACACTTTGCTTAAAAATTAGTAATCTTTGTAGTAAACAGAGAAGACAAATGAGGGAGAAGTCTACATCCATTCACAACAAAGTAGTTCAGATAAAAGCATGGTTATCCGAGTCAAAAATTGTATCGGTAGAAAAATGCTATTTAATGGTTAGAAGAATGTGTCAGATCCACTACTGTAATTAAATTTAGCTTTGAAGCAAAAACTCTAGAACTAGATTCATATTACAGGTCAAGATGACATTAAGGCAACTTAAAATTGGCCATATTAGATTCAGATCCCATACTGTATCTTTTCATTCTTAATATGAGGTGAAGAGAAAAGAATTTTTAACTGCTCTTATACTACAAAGACAATTCTTATAAAGGCATATTGTAAAACAAAAAAAAAACAAAAAATCCCCCAAAACAGGTCACTTGGTTTGCTCCAGTAAAACACTGGGCAGCCTAGATATGCCCAACATTTTGTAATGCAAAGCAGTAACATACAAACCACTAATTATCAAACTGTCAGTCCCATTAATCCCTACTCTTTCTAAAGAGGGTGAGGGCACCCAGAACAAGAGAGGCATGTGAACAGTTCTGACACACACCGAGTACCATCCTAGGCAAACAAGGAGCCCTACATCTACTAAGAGCATGACCAACTTCAGACCAAGTCTTATTTCCCTGCCTGTAAGAGATTCACAGCTGTGTTGCTGTGAACTGGTGAAGGGACAAAACAATAACACAAAAGTCCGTATTCCTTTACGAAAGCCTCCTCAAAAACATAAGCAAAGCTAAATACATTAAGAGACCTGACCCTCTCTTGCTGCCTTCGGAGAGGCTGACAGTGCAGGTTTTCCCACTCAATTTGTTTCTACCTACAGTACAGTTAACACTGTATAGTTAAAGCAGAGGTTTCCAGATAAGAGACTTGGGGGTAATGTTTTCCAGCACACATCAAAACATCTTCCTACCATCTGTGCGGCAGCATTTTCTTCTGAATGAAGTATATGTCTCCATTTACAGACTTGGAGTCATCTATTTGCTTCACCATCTCAACACTGAAGTCCACTTTCCATCTCTAAGAGGAAATATCCTTGTTTTGTTTGCAGAATGCCTCATGCAGCATCACTGGGTAACCACTGGGGAATCCAATGTGCTACAGAAATACAAATGTCAACACAAGGTAACAATCGGATGACAGAGTTACACATATCGGTGACTAGAACTATTAAAAACTTGTCTCTTTCAAGATAACCATATTTAGAGACCAGATGCTGGTATATGGATAGCATGTGTAAGGTATACATAATCACAAGTACTGTATGTACAAAACAAATCCCACTGCAGTTAGTCTGAAAGATAATGCTATTTTTCTTTAAAGATGTGATTCAAAACAAGATTCAGAGTACAAACAAGGCAGCATCTTCAATGCAAGTAACCCATTTGACACTGCAAAAGAAAACAATAGACCTCTTCTTTAATATTGATACCTTTGGCAGAGCTTTTTCTGCTAAAGCTATATGCTAAATCCTAGAAGGTATAGAAGTGTTTGTATCACATCTTGCCATGATAACTGTTGGTGGGCTTAACTACATACAGTATTATTTAAACATCTGCTGAACAAATAGGTGTGTTTTAAAACTCATCAGAAACTGTTTCTAACAAGATGCCTAGCTGATGTACTGCAGACGTGAAACAGTCAAAAGCATAAGCGTTATTGGAAACGGCTCCTGAATAAGCAACCGTGCACTTAATTTCAAGGTCCAGAAGCGTAAGCTCTAAGTGTAAGAAGGTTCAAGCTGAAGCAAACAAGTATCCCCATCCAGCACTGCTCTAGGTCTGTTACTGGAGGGACAGGGGAGCTCAAAGTTCACTTTCACAGTTGCTGTGGGTTTCCTTTAAGATGCCTGGAAAAATGACTATGTTGACCACATCCACATTCCGAGATGCTTTTTTGAGAACTCCTAACGAAGCTTCAGCCAAAGGAACAGGAACTGACTCATTTGTACAGTACCATCCACTGCAGAGCCACCCCCAAATGTGCGCCTGAGATGCACGTGGGCAGCAGTAAAGCAGTGAAAAGGCAGATTGCATTTGAAAGCCAGCAGTGAACATCCTGGCATTCTGCATGAAGGTGTGCTCAAACACATGGTTATTGCTACTGACTGCAACTCATGTCAGCATCTGCTCTACTGCTCTTTCCAAATACCAATTTATGCGCAGACCTGAAAGATTACAAGTTCATACAAGTATTTTATTAAATGCAACTTAAATTGGCCACAAAGAGACAAGTTTAAGTGAGCTAAGATATCTTTACAACCTGTGTAATATGCAGAAAAAGATACTATTTCTAATAGGCTTGATTGTACATTCAATTCATTCCTAAGAACGTTTCCTTTCCCTGCAAGAAAAAACAATTCTGAAAATGAAACTTGAAGTAACCAACAAATCATATTCCAGCAAACACAATTTACTTTCCAGTCATCACTGCATGGGAAAATAGGATGCAACGAAGGCTGTGTGCACGACAACATGAATACTGCCAAATATCAGCTTAGGGCTGTGAGCTATGTATAGACTTGCAGAAAAAGGCATCCCATTTAAGTCAGCTTTCTCCAAAATAGGTGTGCCACTAAGGCATTGTTTAAACCCACCGAAACTGCACTGAATCATTTCCCTGAATAGCATCACAATGAAGTGGGTGTGTTGTTTTTAATCAAGGTGTCTGCTAAGCAATTTATTTTAACAAGTTTTATTATCAGCATGTGCCGAAAGCACAGGACCTGTCCTCTAAGTTCTGTCACTTTGCACACGCGAACCCAAGGTGCCAAAAAAGCTACACCCTGCACCAAGCAAATGAGGGAAGTAAATGCTGGATTCCAGGAAGAATAGTTGGGTTCGACTGCAGAACTACTCGGAATCTCTACTGCACCTTTGCTGCATGTATCCAGTAGGTTTTCTGAATACAGCCATTTAAAACAGAAAAACAAAGTTCACCTGACACCCCAGAAATAGTTTTCCAGTGGTTTTGGCTCTCTAGGCTGTCATGAAGAAGCAGTTTTATCTACAGTGTGCAGTTTTTTTTTTTTTTTTAAAGGAATATTTGACTAAGCTTCCCTGCCCATATCTGGACACTTTCTAATTGATGTGCACTTCTGTGGTATTGAATGGCTGACTGTTCCTCTACCACAGAATTACACGCTTTTAGCCTGAGCCAGTAAGTCAGAAGGTTCCACTAGACCAGTTTATCAGGCAGTAAAGGCACCCTGAAAATACCCAGATCAAATTGGTCACAATCCCTGACGTTACTCGTTATCAAGTAGCACTCTGGTGATAACGTGCAACTCATAGGGCAGAAATTTCTGGGGAAAATACAGCAAGGAGGAGGTCTCTCTGCTAGCTTAGCAAGAGAACAAGTTGCCACTGTCCTGCAGTTAAGAGGCAACTGGGAGAGTTTTACTCAGATATATTGTCATCTTCTGCACTCATTTTTCTACAGAAATGTATACATCTTGTTCTGATGAATCTTTAGTATAAAGGTGCTACAAAATATCCCACTTCTAAAAAGAAACATCTAGACAGGACAGCAGTTGCAGCTTTTTATGGCAAAAGCAGCAGGTGGGCATTCCAATTTTTATTACAAAGATATCTCCTACAGTAACTTTTCCACTATTCCTGATGCAATTACTAAAAGACAAGAGGGTGACCTTTCAAGTTCAGAAGGGAACTATTTCTCCACGTCATTCTGCCCATCAAAAACAGCACTGCAAAACAAGAAAGTTGCATCTTCGAGCACATCTTGACATCTGTATCCCTTCTTAACAACTGTGTATGGATCAGAGAGAGCCCCACAGGTTCATTTGTCCCACGGACACAAACCATTTCAGAAGGCACTCCATTTTCTGAGTGCAGTGGGAGATTTTGCCTTCCCCAGCTCCAGCTGTTACATTATCACCTAAGTTCTTAGCATCCTCTATTTGTAATTCTGCAACTAAGTTTCTAAGAAGTAACAGAAGGCAAGGGGATCATTTAGGTAAAACAGAAGAGCTATTTTAGAGCCATGTTCCTATCGCACTTGCAACCAAAGGTAGCATTTTTATTTTTAGAGATTTGTAAGCCAAGAAAAGAGCTTGGATATCATTTTTCACTTCAATGTCTCTCAGAAATCCAAATATCACAAAACGGAGTTAGATACTTGGCCTTAACAATAGTTGATCAGACAGGACAACCGGTAGCGTTGAAGTGAACCACCCCCTTAGGAGAGAATGGGAGAGGGGAGGAGAAATCAAAGCTTGCAGAAGAAGGGAGCAGCTTGCATACCCAAGGCAGAAGATCAGCAGCAGAGTGGAAACACCCCCAGATCACTTGACTTCCAAGTTCCTCACCCACTAATAGTCACAACACACATCCTCTTGTCTGCTTACGACAACAGTTATCCCAAAGTGTTAATGACACTATCCCAGGATGGTTTACTTAGCAGCTACTGATTGGAGGTCAAAAACCTTTCAGGGATGCTCATAAACTGGGAAGGGAAAAAAAAAAAAAAAAAAAAAAAAAAAAAAAGAGAGAGAGAGAAATCCTTAAGCAGAGAGCAGGGCAGCGCCCTGAAAAAAAACAACCCATACTTTTGTAGCTCTCACTGCAGTTTGTTCTCTTGGAGAGACTCTCTTAAGAACGTGCTCTGCTTGCTGCATGGGTCTCCCTATCTCAACTGCAAACGCTATTATGCAACTTACGTGAGTGCTACATTTCCTATAGTTTCCGGAAGAAAGAATAAACACTGGATTTCACCCTCATTCCACAGCTGCTTGTGGAGAGCGAGGCCTCCCAGGCACTCCTTCCTTCCCTGAGGAATTTCGTCCAAGGGGCAGAGTTCCCCTAGTGCTAACAACTCCAGCTCAGCTGCAGCCGCGTGTGAAGCCCCTTGTCCTCTTCACCTGCTCTCTAGAAAACCTCACTGGTCAGATCAGTCATGACCACTTTGTCCAAATGCCATTTTGGACCAAAAATATTGACTCAAGTGAAGGAAGCTGGCTTTTTTTTTTTCCCCTCTTAATTGCAAGAGGTAAGTTGGAAACTATAGTTACTGTCAATAAACTGGAGTCCACTATTTTATACAGCAGGCATTACATTGGATGCGGCCTCATTTTTGAGGCTCATTAGTAAGTGCGATGCAAATTGATTAATACCAGTATACACACTCAAAATGCAAACAGTATCCAGTAGAACATATTGATATTATAATCTACTTGCTGATAAGTCAGTATTTTATCAAGTACCTAAATAAGGACCTTCAAGCTGGAAATATATTTGAATTAAAGTGATTTAGAGAGAATTGCGCACTGCGAGTGCTTACTGGTACTGCAAAGGCAACCCTTGGTGACATGTATTTACAGATTGCATCTATTTCATTATATATGATTACACTCAGAAGACAAAATAAGGCTGTAAGTTTGGACAGTTAGATGTTAGTTGATACTGTATGAGAATAAATCCTACAGAAAGGTTTTAGTTGCAGTAGTTGCTGCATTTCTTCCAACTGTCAAGATTTGCTCAAAACTTTCTTAGCACATATTAACTCACTTAAGCAAGTAGCTCAAAAGTTCCTGCACCATTTTCATTTCTTTAGGTGCCCACTGAAGTCATGTTTTCATTCATGTGACCATCTCCCATTAAAACATTTAGATCCTATTCCAGAAAGTACATCTTTGGTTGACAAATCTTCCTTATCATCACAGTACTATAGCTTTTAACTAAGCCTGAAATTTCAAGTGGGACTGTATACAAACATTATGCGAGTATTAGCCTGCTCTCTTAGATATTTCAATGGTGTTATTCAGAGCTCGGTTTTAGCTTCTGTTTTGGGGGTTTTATTTTTTTCCTTCTCCTTCTTTTAAAAAGACAAAGAAAAATAGGCCCCTCAAAACCACAGCTACTCCAACTATTCTCAATGAAGATACAGGCAATATTTGCCAATAGAAACCATTTCATGTTTATTGCCCAAGCACACACTTGTTAGGCAAGGGCAGTAAGAGATTAGTAAAATAAAAATATTTAATTATTCACAAGTCATCCAAGACCTGCGACGTGTTCCTTAAGGTGCGAACAGCTGGCCGCAAAATTTAGACCAGATGCTGCTCTTAAAATGAGCACTGA